GATCTATAAATCCTATTTATTTTTATTTGTAAGCCTATTTATATAATAAGATATAATACCATCATTAATAAATTTTGGTTATTTATCTCTGGACAAATCCTTTTTAATTTTCTGATTTCGAAATTTCAAAACAAAAATAGGACACTTATTTTCAAAATAAGTTACACTGAAACCCCTAATGGCATGTTATTTCGCCTTTTACCTTCCTTCTCAAGTCAATACCTAGTGCGTTAGCCCCCTAAATGTTTCTAAGACTCAATACGTAACTCTCTTAATGACATATATGAGATTTTCTGAGGAAGATGTACACGTATGCAATGCTAAATACTTGGTTTAAAAAGCGAAGGTCTTCCAAAAAACCTCCATGTGCAGTTTTCAAAAAAAAAAAAGACACGGTTTTATGGCTCTGCAATTACAGGAACCCACGCAACAATCTATGAAGGTAAAGCAAATGAATCGTGCAAAATCACCATGAATATAACATAACTCGTGAAGCCTTGCCTCCGCCGGTTAAACAAATATTTTCATTCAGTGAGAATAAACAAGCGGTGGGCTATTGAAGACCCACATAAAAGAAAGTTTAATGATATGAATTCTCCCGGAATAGCTGAATTCGTTAGGTATTCTCGAAGACTGCATAGTAGCAGAGAAAGAGTACATGATTATATATGGAAGACAATCGAGAAGCAGAACGAAATGAGAAAATTCACAACTTCATTTGATATGCGAATTTGGCATTTGATGTTGTAAGTATTAAAGATTAGTCGTTAGTTTTATTATTTGCATGAGAAATTCGTGTATTGAGCTAATTATTTTATCCAGTTTCCATCACAGGACTTAATGGCTAATGCAATAAATTTAAAGAATAAAGAAGGTATGACTCCGTGCAGTGGTTGGCAGCATAGTGCGGGAAATAAGTTCTCGCATAGTCTCGCCCAAGTAGGCGTGGGTGTGCAACTTACTCTGAGCAATGTTCTGTGGGTAGGTTTAATTGGCTCACCTGGGAGATACGAATTCTCTTGGGTCTGCTGGACTCGATGGCTTACCGGAGGATAAACGAAGCTACTTATTTCGTGCATTACCTGCCGACTACTCGGAATTTTTTTTACTACATACTTGTGTTGATTTTATTACGACATTAATTTTTTTTTTTTTTTTTTTTTAGAATTCAAAAGAAGAACTGATGTTTACAGCTGTTTTCATAAATTCTGGAAAATCTGACAAAAATTGGCCGACTGAATATTTGCTGATTCGATAAGTTTTTGTTTCGCAGTGATTACAGTAATAGGGTGATTCAGAATTAAGGAGCAGGTTTCTGATTTCGAATTAAATTAGCGATGTATTTATTTCGAAATCAGCGGTTCATAAATTTCATTTATTTTGATTTGTAAGCATAACTTTTATGATCGTGAATTTTCTTTCGAGACTTGATATCTTTCATATATATTTTAAAATGTCCTATGTTTCTGATCGACAATTAAATAGTATTTTAGAAGTATTGTGGAAGATTCTAATGATACTCATAAAAATATAGCTAAAATTAAAGAAAAAGAAATCCGGAAACAATTGAATTAGATCGATATCCTACTATTCCCTACTATTCGTTAAAAAACCATCAAGTTCTCTTCTTTAATAGTTTGTTTAAAAGTTTTTTGGGGGGAGATATATTAACTGTTAATAATTAGAAAATAAATATGTAATATTACTTAAGAATTTTAAAAAAATTTTAAACGATTATTTGTAGTTCTTTATTAATTATTACGATAATATCATATGATAACAACAAATCATCTTATCTCCAGTTTCTTTTTCTTATTTCAAAACTTCAAAAAGTACCCCCACTTATTTTCGAAATATGTTAATTATGAATTACCCCATTACGATAATATAAAGTTACTAGTTTTATTTCCAGATAACTTCTATAAAACAGAAATAAGATATTTTGTACCTCTACTTATTTTTGAAATAAGTAATGAATCAAAACTTATCAAATCGGCAAATATTTGGTCGGTAAATTTTGCCTGATTTTCCAGAATTTATGAAAACAGCTGTAATCAGAAGTTTATCACTGCGAATCAAAAACTTATCGAACCGGCAGATATTCTGTCGGTCAAATTTCCAGAATTTATGAAAACAGCTGTAAATAAACATGTAATTGACGTAATTCACTATGCAGAAGGTTAAATAAAGTCTTTCCGGGATAATATATGCATGAGATTTGATTCAATATTGAATAAATATACCGAGTTCCCGTAAAAGATTTATTAAGTCCGTTTTTCAAACTTTCAAAATCAAGATGATAGCGAAACTATCTTGTTCTCTCCGAACTAGATTTTGTAACCATGTCATGTGTCACGTGATAAACCCACATCTCTAGCGACACTAGTGCTACTAGTGACGCTACCGGTGCTTTTGTCTCACAAATAATTATAATGCATCTTTCGCTCCTCCATATATAATAATTAACCTCTACCATTCTTATAAAATCGGCGAATTATCAATTTGCTCTGAGCGTAGCAAAGTATATCCACTTCCGGGATGCCGATTGGTTGAATACATGATGATCACTCATAAGATAGCTGATAGATCGTTCGTAGCATTGCAGCATTAATCGATAAAAAACTTTTAATACAAAAAAAAAAAAAAGGAAAAAAAAAAACGCTACATTAAATTTTTTTTTATATATTTTAAAAAACTATACTCGCATTCAGTTTGTAATAATTTGCATCGATAATTCACATAAATGAATTGTTAACGCAACAAGTATATAAAGTTTTCTTTTAACGTTCATTTAGATCGTAAATACAAAGAATATCAACAATTCATTTCAAATCAATGTTTTTATCCGTCAATATCCAGCTTAACTCTTTTGTATCATGATTATAGTACAAATACCACTTTTAAATAGACAAATCAAATTTTGCTTCTTCAAATTATTTCATTTGTCAATTGTTAAATAAAGGCATCTTATCTGTTCTGTGATTACAGAGAATATTTATTTAGCCAGTGAATTAAATCCATAAACAAGTTACGAATGGTTGTATTCGTAAATACTGAATTAGTGTTTGGGTCCGTGGATATCCGACTACTTTCAATCCGCTGGATTTTTACAACTATACGATAAAATCTGTTGAATCCGGTGAATCCATAAATTTTCTTTCTTTCTTTTTTTTTTTTTGAAATGATGTCTACAAAAAAAAAATATGTAAGTCACTATAAATTGTTGTGAAGTCAGACTCAAAACCAATTTATATAAATTTTCTGATATAGTGAATTTACTAATAAAATTCTTAATATAGCTGATTTTTAACTTATAGAATCGATCATGGGTGACTTATATATTTATTTTGACGAGACATTAAAATATTTATACAAAGAATTCTTTGTTTAAAATTGCTAATTCAAGTACTTTTCAATTACGCAAGTTGTCTAATTTTCCCACATTAAAAGCTCGTTTTGTTTATTGTCATGATTTACTCGTACGCGAGAGTTTTACAGGATAACAGTAATGAAGTAGGAATTTAATCATCCACCCGAAAAAACCTTTGTTATTTTTTTAAATAATTAACACTATGTCACTGCTTTTACCAAAATGCTTTATTACTGTTACAAATAAGCAATCACTTCAGCATCACATAGCCCTGGCGCTAATTGCGGATGATCCAGTGGATATCCGCCAGATTAAAATAGTCGGATATCCATCGGCAACGGATCTAAACACTATACACTATACCAGTCACACGATTTGTCACGCAGATCAATTTTTTACTATGTAATTTGAGTGATCGACATTCATATGACCGGCTTTTTTTACATAGTAAATTGCAACGATAGGC